ACAGCACAGCACCTGTACCCCAGCCATGCAGAGGCAGCTCCAGAGCAGCAGGAGACCAGGAGGGCACAGCTCAGGGAGCTGCACTGGGAGCTGAGCATGCCCTGCATAGGAAGCTCTGCTCTATGACAGAACAGAGCCACTTGTGACAGTGTTCACAGGGGTTTTCAGGATGAGGGAAGAGATGTAGATCTGACTCCATATTTCAGAAGGCTTGATTTATCATTTTATGATATACATATATGAAATTATAACTATAGTAAAAAGAATAAAAGGAAAAGTTTCGTCTCAGAAGGCTAGCTAAGCTAAGAATAGAAAGGAATGAATGATAACAAAAGCAGCTGGCTTGGACAGAGAGAGAGCGCCAGCTCTGCTGTGGCTGGTCACTAAATCCAAACATCCACACGAGACCAATCCCAGATGCACCTGTTGCATTCCACAGCAGCAGATAACCATTGTTTACATTCTGTTCTTGAGGCCTCTCAGCTTCTCAGGAGGAAAAATCCTAAGAAAGGATTTTTCATAAAAAGGTGTCTGCGACAGCCGCTGTCCTGTGGCAGGAGTCCCCTCTCAAGTGTCCTCACCAAAGCATCCCCAGCTGGGACTCCCTTGGCGGGGCAGCTCCTGTCAGCACCAGGGATGCTTTGGGTCCCTTGCCCTGTCACCCACCTCATACACAGCATTCTCAGCTGTGCATCTGTTTATTCACAATATTCCAGGAGGCTTTACATTTAAATGAGTTCATACAAGGATTACCTAAACCTTTTTTCATAGATAAGCAAGCAGCATTCAAAAAATTTGTGAATTTTAAAAGGTTTAAAAGACACTGCTCCTGTCTCCCTCTGCTCTAAACTCCTTATAAGAGCTTGAATAAAAGGTTTGTAACATGGGTCAGGATTCTTACCCTGCTGCTTGGCAAAGGCCAACTAGAACAAATACAAAAGGCAAACTCAAAAAATAAATAAACTTGAAAGCAAAAACATAGAAGCAAATATTTGTGCTCAAAGCCATCCCTGCTGCCAAGGACTGACTTGCATTGTGCTTTTCCAAAATATCCCTGATGTGACACTGGCATTCCAGCCCCATCACCAACAGGGATTTCAGGGAACAGGGCTGCATTGTCTGTCATCTGCCCAGCACGTTCTCTTGTGCTCAACAACTGCACATTGAGAGCAGGAAGATGCCTGCCAGCTTCTCAACACCCCAGGGAAGCAGGAAGAACTCCACTTATTCATCTAAATGAATTCCTTCTTTATCAAGAAAAAATACCTTCCACTTCAATTACTGAAATAAAATATTAAAAGGAAAACTTTTCATTCCCTGGAAGTTAGCAAAAAGCCACCAAGGAAATCCACTATTGCCACACTAGGTCTGAGCTTGCCTGTTCCTGCTCATATGAAGGGCAGTGGAACCCTGGATACTGAACTGGAAACCAGCTCAGAAGCAGCACTGCAGCAGAAATATTATGCACAGATGACAGCCAGTTTCCTTTAGCATGGCAACTTTCCCCCACAATGAGTGGATTCTTTTCAGCTCAAAATAGATTGCACATTTTATTTCCAAAGAATGTACTGGGACAGTTTGCAGCTCCCTGAAGACAGAGCTGGGCCCTGTTGAGAGTATGGAAGGGAACAGGCTGACATTTAAGTGTTTTAAAGGAATTGCTTTTCATGTGGCTACACCCTTCTAAGGCATTTCAGCACTTAGGACCTCGTCCTGCCAAGTCTCAGCTTTATGGATTTATGGATTGCCAGCTGTCCCACTGCAGTCACTGGGACAATTCACAAAACTATTCAGACTAGAGCCTTTACTTGGACATTGAAACACTCAGCAGTACCCAGCAGCTTATAAATGAATACACACCAGCCTGAATGTGTGCATATTGCTGTTCAAACAGCCTTTTCCCCAAGAAACACTTCCTATGAGAGGTGTCAATCTCCACAGAAGGGACAGGAATCAAAGCTCAAGAAATGAATTGGCCAAGGCAGTGAAATGCTGTTTACATCAATTTTTATTAGATTATTAGAAATAAACACAAGATTTTGACATCTTGTGTTTATTTCCTGACAAAAAGCTGATTGCCCCAGACTAATTGGACCAAAAGCCTTGACAAATGTGAACACAGCAGCAATGTGAAGCTGAAGGGCATTTTGTTCCTCATCTACCACTGTTCCAGCAGGGACCCAAACAAACCACAGCTCCTGCTGGAAGTTTAACACACTGACAGCCCTCTTTGGAGAGATGATGTGATGCACACCCTCAGTCTCACTGTGCAGGAGGGATCTGCACCCTGCAGACAGCTCCAGGATGCATTTTTGGTAATATCCCAGCTCTGTTCCTTTCATTTCATCCCAGCCCAGGAGACCCACACAGGTACCAGACTGAAGGACTGGGAATGCCCAGAACCCCCAGGAGCTACAGCCAGAGCAGCACAATCTGCACACCCAGGCAGTTCATGGGATTCCAGTTTTCCACAGCTTGAGGACTTTGATGAACTCAAACACTTTTAAACACTGCACAGATGAAGTTCCCTCAGACAGACACACACACCACACCTCCCAGGGGCCAGCAGTACTATTAATGCTGCTTTTCTGTGTGAAACCCTGAGTTTCTGGAAATCTTCACAAAAAGGTGTGTTAGCTCTACCTACCTTGAGTGGATAGTTACATCCTACCAGGATGAAAGCTGCTGGACCCAGTTCCACAGAAAGAATTCCATGTTTTGATCAGGTGAGATGTTACAAAACCAGAATCACTCACCATTGGCACCTTCAAACCAATGTTCACTGAGGTTTCAGACATCTTTCAAGGAGAGAACACCATCCCTACTGAAGAGCAGCTGTTCAAGGTGGGTTTGTATCAAATTAAAGCTCAAGTTTCTTACAACTTAGGGAAGCAAATGAAAAACAAAGAAGCATCTACAAAATATTGACAAGGATGTATTCCAAAACCAACCATATTGAGGAATCAGCAAAAGTAGATAAAAGAGCAGAGGAGGAGAGTTGCTTCTTGAGTTTTATTTCATCTTTTGCACCTGCCCAAAATGCTCCATTTCCTGGTAGCAACTCATTTCTCAAAACATAGTTTGGAGAAAGCACAGCACTGTCACTACATTTCTCTTCACAGAGAAAAGCAAGGCACAATTCTTCCCAAGAATATTTCTGGGTTTCACATGCTCTGAACCTCAGCGAAAGGAAAAACAATTCTTATCATTTGCTGTGCCTGTGTTTGTGCCAAAGCAGAATGCAGTGTGGAGATTGTTCACCCACAGTGATGGGGTTTTGTTCCCTTGGCCTGTCAGGGCCAGGTGTGTGTGTGTGTGTGTGTGTCAGGGCTGTTGGTGACAGTCACAAGATTCTGTGTGTCCAGGGTTGAGTGCTTGGCAGGTTCAGTTTTAGATGCATAGAATGATATAGTATAATAAACTAATTAATTAGCCTTCTGATATCAATGGAGTCAGATGCATCATTCCTCCTCCATCAGGGCCCTCACAGCATTGCTGTACTCCTGCAGGCACAGTGCCTCAAAGCAGAATTTCCCAAGATCCATCAAGGTGTTCAAAAAAGAAGAAAACTCCATAAAAAATATCCCAGGTCTGCTTCCCTGTCTACTCATGATGAACAATATGGAGATTGTTTACCCACAGTGATGGGGTTTTGGTTCCTTGGCCTGTCAGGGCCAGGTGTGTAGCCCCTATTTCTCTTCACAGAGAAAAGCAAGGCGCAATTCTTCCCAAGAATATTCTTACCTCATTTGCTGTGCCTGTGTTTGTGCCAAGGCAGAATGCAATATGGAGATTGTTTACCCACAGTTATGGGGTTCTGTTTCCTTGGCCTGTCAGGGCCAGGTGTGTGTGTGTGTGTCAGGACTGTTGGTGACAGTCACAGATTCTGGGCAGTTCTGAGCTGTGGAGTGCTCGGCAGATTCAGTTTAGATGTAATGCAACATAGTGTAATATAATATAGAATAATATAGAATAATAAAGTAATTAATGAGCCTTCTGATATCAGTGGAGTCAGATGCATCATTCTCTCCCCTCGTGGGGGCTGCCTGTAAATTCCATACAGCAGAGAGCCCCAGACAGCCCAAGCCCGTTTGCCACCACTGAAATTGTTTTACCCCGGTCTCAATGAGGAAAACTGGAAAGCCCAGGCTGTCAGCAAGCACTAAAAGGGAAAGGCCAGTGCCTGAGCAAGGCTGTTCCTCCAGGGACACAGCACAGTCAGGCACCAAGCAGAGAGGATGTCAGAGTGCTGATTTACAGCACACTGCATGATGAAACACAGGCTCTGCAGAAATCCACAGCAGCACAACCAAAAGACACCTAAATCCCACGGGGTTTATTGTGCTTCCTTTTTTAAACTCACTGGCTGGAAGAGTTACTGTTGGATTTAAGATTTCCTTTTTGAAGGCAAACTAAAGAAATAAAAATGTGCCAGAGGGATGAAAGGGTTTCACTGCAGGCAACATTTAAGTAGTGTGAAGTGTTTAAAGGAAGATCAGTCACAGTATTTAGTCTGTGATCAATTTATAGAATACAGATTGCATTTGAGATTGGACAGGATTACACTCTTGACTCTGAAAAAACCACACTAAAAACTCACCTGTTCCTTTCATTCTGGGATTCAGTTTGGTCACTGAAGGGTAAGAATGAAACATTTTTATGTTCTGAAAAGCTTATGTCAAAATCTGAACAGTATTTCAACAGCCTGGTACCTACACAGTGTACCTCTAAGCACAAATAAGTGCATTAGCCTCTGCAAGAAAAGAAAATTTTACTGTTTCTTTTTCCATCAAGTACAATTTCAAGAATGAAATTATATTTTTAAATCCAAGCATTCTCCTAATCTGGGGTCAGAACATTTCTTTGCTTAACATGTCAAGGTGAAGTTACTTTTTCTTTTTTTCTGTGTTCCTTACATTTAAAGTGAAGTACTGATGGAAGCTCTCTGTCTTGAAACAAAAGACAACCCACACTCTTCTCAGTGTGACCAACAAGTGAATTGGACTATTCAGAACAAGCAACCATCTGATCCTGAGACAATCGTTTACTGTGGGATGAACAAAACTTTCCTGGGCAGCATGTACCCTACTGCATACCTTTCATGTAATATCCAAAAGCAACAATGAATTATTTAATGCCAAAGTATTCACTCTAAGGGAGCTCAGAAGACAGCAATTTCTACTTTTATAAGTCAGAGAGATCCGTGTTTCTTCAGTATTTTATTCAATATCATCAGCAAATAAAATTTCCAGGGAAATCTACACACAGCTTCCTAGAAATAACAGTGCATACTTCCCTCCTCAGTTATCTTTACCCATCTGGTTTTCATATTCCCCAAGCAGGTTATTCAGGCTTCCTTCCCCTCTGTGAGTTTCCCATTTTGGTTTATTTAATAAATAATGGACTGCAGGGGTGATCTTAGAGAAAACTCCACATCTCAGCTCTGCTGCACAACCAAGTTCACTGGATGTCATCGTCATCAAAGAGATCTTCAAAATCTAGTCAGGAAAACAAGACAAAAATGAACCTCAGAGGTTTCAGTGCTACAAATGCACATGCAAGTACAGTACTTTGCTCCTTGGATCAAGGACAGAAATAAAGGTGAATTCAAAGAATGAGAGTTACTGCACCATCAGTTATTAGAAATGTAGCATCAGGGTGATGATTTTGCAGACTAATGAACTGGGAGTTGTGTTAAAAAGCCCCTCCTCAGAAACATTTAATTGCTCAAAAACACTTAATTGTTTTGTATTAAAAACCCCTTCCTCAAAAAAATTTAATTGCTTTAAATAACATTTTTGTCTCAGAACACATGTCCCAGTAGTGAAATGGTTCCAGTCACATTTGGAATTACTCCTAACTACTCAGCCTTGCATCCCCTTTGTATACTGAACATAAACTAATCACCTGAGTGAACACAGTCTTTATTCTTACAGAAGCCAATTTACAATGAACGGAGGCTGAATCCTCATTTAGAAGAGCCCTAAATACCAATGGAACACAATTTCACAGTGGGATGGTAGAAATAGATGGAAACAGCTACTCCTGGATATGCTGGCTCCAACAGACAGCTGAGAGCAGAACTGCCTTCCACTCCTGTGTCCTAAGCCTTGAGCAAAATGAAAAATGTACTTTATTTTGGAATCAACACCACATTGTAATACTAACAACTGCCGCTGCAAAATTAAATAACATATAAAGCATTTAATAACATATAAAACTCACTGTTGCAATGTCTAAATGCACTTCTTCAGAAGCATAAAAACCCCTTTAGCCACCAGGTGCAGCACAGTGCTGTATATTCCACCCCTACGTGGAATATATGTAGCTGCTCTCCCTCAAAGCAGTTGTAAATACTTACACAGAGGCTGAGAGAGCTGGGATTGTCCAGCCTGGAAAAGAGAAGCTCCAGGATGGCCTTTTAGCACCTGAGGAGCCTCCAAGGAATGACAGACTATTGACACGGGCCTGGAGTGGCAGCACAAGGGGGAATGGCTTCAAACTGACAGCATGGAGGTTCAGGGAATTGATAAAAAAAATCTTCCCTGTGAGGGGCGGTGAGGCACGAATTGTCCAGAGAACCCCACATTTTTACTCGGATTTACACTGTTTAACATAAGCTACTTGTTACACGAACGGACCAAGGTATTTTTCCTTGTAGCCTAACACACTAAACTCCCCGGAGAGGAACACCCCGCTCCCAGAGAAGGGGTCAGGCCCAGCTTTAGCGAGCACAGGCAGCAGAGCCAGGGCAGAGAAGCCGGGCGAGGCTCGCTGAGGCAGCCCGGGATCAGGGCGCTCCTTACCGTTGAAGAAGTCGGCGTGCACCGCTTTCTCGTTGGCGGCCAGGTCCATCAGCAGCCCCGTGCTTCCCCCTGCCTGCGAAAGCGGCCGCTGAGCGCCCCCGCCCCGCGGCACCACGGCCGCGGCACCGGAGTGCCCGCCTCACCTCATCCAGGTCCACGTACGGGCCGGCGCCCTCAGGGAACATCTCGTCCACCGCCGGCTTCATGGCGGCCCCTCCGCGCCGTCACTTCCGCCGCAGCACAGCGCCGTGCGCAATGGCCGCCCCCGAGCGGGGCCGCGCCGTCGCCATGGCGACCAGCAATGGGGGCCGCCATCTTGCTCACCCCGCCCCCTGTCGCCATGGCGACCAGCAATGGAGGCCGCCATCTTGCTTACCCCACCCTGTCGCCACGGCGACCAGCAATGGAAACCGCTATCTTGCTGCCCCATGCCTCCGTCGCCACAGCGACCAGCAATGGAGGCCGCCATCTTGCTCTCCACGCCCTGTGGCCATGGCGACCAGCAATGGAAGCCGCCATCTTGCTCCCTCACACCCTGTGGCCATTGCTCACCCACGCCCTGTGGCCATGGTGACCAGTGATTGAGGCCGCCGTCTTACTCCCTCATGCCCTGTGGCCATGGTGGCCAGCAATGGAGGCCGCCATCTTGCTGCCCTCACGCCCTGTGGCCATGGTGACCAGCAATAGAGGCCACCATCTTGCTCCCCCGTGCCTCCGTCGCCATGGCGACCAGTGATTGAGGCCTCCATCTTGCTCCCCCACGCCCTGTGGCCATGGCAACCAGCAATGAGGTCGCCATCTTGCTCTCCCATGCCTTGTTGCTGTGGCGATGGCAGGCCCTGTGCCCCTTCAGGCCTCAGTGAGGCCTCAGCTTGCAAATGAGGTGAGTGTGACTGATACTGGCAGCCCCTCCAGCCCCCAAACTGGGTGCACTGGTTGAATAACTCCTGTACACATGTACTCCTCTGCACAGAGAGCAGTCTCCTGAGATGAAGCTGAGAGCATCAGCTGTTAAAAAAAAAGCTCCCAAAGCCATGCAGCAGAATGAACGAGTTTATTGTGTCACACATAAGCATAAATTGTAAAAAAGGGATTAATTTAAAGCCTGAAATGCTGCATGTGGCTTCAATGTCACTTAGTGGCTAAGGCACAGTGCAGCTGTATTTGCTGGCAGTCAGGTGTTCACGCAAACACCTTTACAAGAAATGGTAAAAAAGAGACTTACTGAAGCCATAAAATGCTGCACATGACTGTGGTGTCACAAAGCAGGTGAGGGCAGCCCAGGTGTGTTCAGTGGCAGAGAGGAGCTCACCAAACACCTGGGCAGCAGCTCTGGCAAAGCTGAGTGAGGCTCTCAGTGCTCATGGTCACGCACGTGGTAGCCAAGGTGGCTCCCAAAAGGGAACTGGGCAAAGAAGGCTCTGGCCATGTCATTGATCCTGTTGTAGGCTCCCAAGGTCCGGAAATATTCCACATAGGACCAGAAATCATTGGATGAGAAGGGCCAGTAGGGCAAGGCTGCAGCATCCTGGTAGGGATCTAAAGAACCCAACCAAAACAAAATATTGCATATTACTATAATACGAAGCACTTTTGTTGAGAGGTTGGGCTTGGAACCACCATGGTTTGGGGTTGTGAGTTCCCTTTGGGGGCTGGTGTGCTCCTCTGGCAGGAGGGAGGCAAGGAGAGCCATTGACCCCTCTCTGTGACCCACTCTGCAGAAAATGGAGCCGGTATTCCCTGCTCCAGATGCACCAGGAGTGACAGACTGGGACAAGATGGGGAGCAGGAAGGAAGGGACACATCCACATTTACACCAACTCAAGAATTCATCAGGCTGGTTTCATTTCTAGAACGCTGCTGGTTATTTCAAAGCAAGCAGCGATTGCAATCAAAAGCCATTACTCCTCATTCCACGTAATTTGCTTTGCCCCATAGAAAAATATAAGGAATAAGGCACCACCCTCTATGTTGTGCCCCTGCAGCTGGGCACACTGCCCACAGAACTCCCAGGACTGGGGCCATACTGCCCTGACACTGCCTGGAACTGCAGAGCTGTGCCTCTCCTCAGGGCACTGTAGGAAACGAGCCACAGGGATGGAGAGGAAAGCCTTTGCCACTTGGGGGACAGCTGCTGCATTTGGGCCTACTCTAGCAGCACCAGAATGTGATACAGACATTGAAACAAGATTAACAATTCAGCAGCAAAATAAAATCAGTTCTGAAAACACAAGAACCGACCACCCTGGGCCCAAATGTGGGCAAACAGAGAAGCATATATAAAATGTAAACAGCAGCTGAGAGCACAGTCACTAATGTCGTTCAGTGCAGTGAAGCTAAACACAGTATTTTATTTTGATTTGAGGCCCATTTAGATGAATGAAAGTCTTTGCACTCAGCTTGGGGCCAGGGTCTTCAGTAGGAATTAAGAGCCTTCAACAATCCTGTTGTCAGACTTTAATTTTACTGAGTAAAGTTTGCAGCGTGCAGGCACAGATGGCACATAACAAACCAAATGAACCAGCCAAATGCTGTCTGCAGAGAAGAACCCACTGTTTATACCAGCTGACCTCAGATTCACTTTGCAGGCTGCTGCTTGGCCCAGTGTGAAAGAAAACAATAATTGCTGGTAATGAGAGCAACAGGACACTGCCTGAACAGGGTTCTAATTCTAGATTGATGCAGCCTCTCCTGAATGCTGCAAAAGTTGCCACAAAAATATTTGCTGTACACAAACACAGATGATATAGTAAAAGATTTTAGAGATGATATATTAAAAAGTTTTATTTCTAAAGAAATAGAATGGAGCATAGGGAAAAAAAGGTTTGAATGATAAGTAATCATATTAGACTTTATTGTGTATTTGTTCTGTTCACATCTGTTATAGTGCTTTCTGCATATTTGTGAACTGGAGATGCTGCTGGCAGTGCTTGGTTATTGCAGATACTTCTCTGCAACTCTGTTTTCAGACAGAATTCTGTCTGAAAAGCCAAAAAAAGGTTAAATGATAGAATCATCAGTAAGCCAGTGCAAACATCATTAGGGTGTTGAGGGTTTTTTTAATCAAAGGCAAACACTAATCCAATGGACTAATCACACAAAGTGACATGAACCACAGGGTAGCTGTGCTAAGGGACTTATTCCAACATTTCTCTAATTGGATTTGTGGCAATTTGTAAATTTTAAGCTTTTTGTCATGAAAGCTGGTATCTCTTGCCAAAAAGCAGATACACATACAGCAATATGGTTCAGGACAGACCAAATTCTCAGATGTCCTATACATATCTAAGTCTGGTACATTCCAGTTAGGATTTTGTACAACAGAATTAGTGACTTGACTGTAATCCCTTTTCATTTTAAGACTGGATATTAGCTCTGTTATTATACATTAATATGTTACCACCTTTTAATAAATTTAAAAGGAATTTTTAAAATTCACGATTCTTTTTTTCACTAGAACTAAGCGAAAGCTTTTCCTCTGTCCACTGAGGTTAATAAGCATTCCTGCCAAAGTCATTGCTGGGCATCGAGTCTGGGAGTTACAAATTACTCCCCTAAGTATTAGTGACACAAAGGAAATAAAAAACCATTAGGAATTACCATCTCCATCCTGGATGGATCGGGCATCTGTAAGTAAAGAGGAAACACATCAGTACCAGCTCCTGCACAGAAAGACTTTCTGTTAACCAAACATTTTCCATGTATAACTAGAAGATCACAAGTCTTTTAATGCCCACATTGGCCCCTCAGTGTAGCCAAAGGATTTTTGTTTCTTGAACAACAGAGCAATGAATTCCCTGTTTGCAATCAGTCACTGCTACAAACCACCTCAGTCTGGCTGTTAGAACTCACAGCCTGAACAGATGGGATTAAAATGTCAGCAACACTAAATAGAAGATACTGTATTTGTAATAAAATATTTCTGGGGGCTTGAAAAAAATAAACAAGAATAAATTTGGTAGTAATCTTACCTGTTAGCATGTTCATCAGCATACAGAAGATAAAGAAGCCAGTAAATGTCATCTTGTCTGCAAGAAACTGCTTGTGTTTCTGAAAAGTAATTTGTACAATCGAGGATTATTACAAGAGATTAATAATTATGCAAACTCAATTATTTCTTGTTTTAATAGAAGAATACATTCCAAAATAGATTGTAGTTACAAATTTGGGCATGAAAAAATCCAATCATATTTTTTATAGCTTCTGAAGTGCAACACAGAGCATTAAAAACCATCAGTTGTGAAATGTGTATTGATATTTTGGTTTTAGATGGCATAAATCCAAAAGGTGCCTCTGAATCGACATGAAATCAACTGTCTTTGGAAATGTTTGATTTTGTGGTTAATTTAATTTCACTTTGGAAATTACCTCTCTGTTTCTTTTCTTTTCTTCTTCTTCTTTTTGCAGCTCTGAGTCAGCTACAAAACTCCAAAAGGGTTTTTATTGCTGTAAAATAGCAGTGCTTTGTAAGGAAGGGTGGGGGGAAACGTCACTGAGTTACTACACCAATCTGATTTTGTTTTCTTCAGATATTTTAACTGCTCACATTTGCATTATATTTCAGCACTGCCCATGGAAGAGACAGTGGACAGTTTCTGAGAGGAAATCAGAATTAACTTGGGCAATAACATTTGGTTTTGGAAGATAGAGGGAAAAAATACAGAAGCAAATTCAGTGAGTATTACAGTTTCTGCCCTCCTGATTTCTTTCTGCCCCTTCAGACAAATAGATTTTTTAAAATGTTAGCTGAGCAAATTGCTAAAAGGATATTGAGTTCCCTCTCCAACTCAGCCATAAACCCCAGAAATACTTGACAGTGCTTTATATTCTTACTTAGGATCCTTAAAATCTAGACCTTAAAATGTACCAGGCAGTGAGTGGCCACTGAAATCAATTGGGTTACAGAGAGTAAAGAAGGAGGTCCCTGAGGAGCACAGCCATGCTGATGGTGCCAGTGCCTTCAGAGGGTCGATAGGGTGCACTGAAATGCATTTTCACATTATACCCATTTCCTGGAAGGATTCCTCTCCCACACCCAGCAGGTGCTTCGGGCTCCAGCCTGTGCAGGTTGCTGTATAGATCCAGCACTTTGAGAAACATGAAGGGGAGAGAAGATTTGGAGAATATTCAGTTGTCACATACACCTGACTGATTTTCACCTAGCACACAAGCCCTGATGGCAGCGGGTGTGGTCAGGGACTAAGGTGCAGCAGAAAGTGTTCTGTGACTCTCAGGCAGGTTGGGCATCTCCATGCTTCTCAACAATGTGGCAGTTCAGGTCATCTGGCCAAACCTCCAACTTGTGAGATTCACATTCTCTGAACCTGAGAGAAGCAGTGAAAGAAGCAGAAAAAAGAATGATCAAAACAGTTCTTAGCTCATTTGCTGTGCCTGTGTTTGTGCCAAAGCAGAATGCAATATAGAAATTTTGAAATATTATAGATATATATATGTGTATATATATATACACTATATATATACACACTATATATATATACACACTATATATATATATATATATATACACACACACTATATATATATACACACTATATATATATTTTTTTTTTTTGTTTACCCAAAGTGATGATGTTTTGTTTCCTTGGCCTATCAGGGCCAGGTGTGTGCAGACTGTGGGTCAGCAGACAGTCACAAGATTCTGAGCAGTTAAGTGCTTAGCAGATTCAATTTAGATGTAATATAATATAAAATAATACAGTATAATAAAGTAATTAATTAGCCTTCTTGTAAGACAGAGTCCTCCTCCTCATTCCTCCCGGACATTGAACAAAATATCACTGATACCATCAATTTGCACATATTGCCTCTCTTGAGAGGAGCTCCTGAGAAACCAGTGCAGAGCTCACTGTGCACCTTCATGCTGTGAGATCTGACTGTACACATGCTGATCTGAGCTGCACTCTCTTGCTGGGCATTTTCAGTTGCCTTTATGATCTACAAAAGCATTTCTCTGTGTCACTTCTAGGTACCTGCATTTCCCAACTCTGGGCATGACTCCTGACATCAGTGCCTTGGCTGTACCACATCACCCATCTGCCACAGGAGCACAGGGGAAATCTGTGCACTCACAAAGCCCTGGAGCACAGAGAGCCAGGTGAGTGGCCTTGCAGGAGGACCCAGCTTGGCTGGAGTTTGTTCCTATCTACACACAGAGTTAGATAGTTTTGCCAAGAATTAATCCAAGATGTTCTGAGTATAGGGAAAAATGGGTGCTTTGTGCACACTAGGCTGTGCCAAGTCTTGTGGAGAGTGAAAAGAAAAATATTATGAAAGCAGAAGCAATTCCATCTTTGAAAGGCTTTAATCCTCCTGCTTAGTAGGTATTTCCTGGGCCTGTAGCAGGGCTCCCTACATAAGCCATGTTCTTGCAGCAACTCACCCCCTCACCAGGGCTGCAGCAGCTGCGGTGGGAAAAGGCACTTCCTTGGAGTTCTGTGCATCCATGTACCTGTGTGCACCCAGCAGTGCTCCCTGCAGAGCCCAGCTTTCCCTTTCACTGCCTAGTCTGTATATCCTGCTCCAATAAAACCCAGAAGCACTGAGGTGTGCTGATACACACACAAAGCAGTCATCAGCTGCAATTGAATAATTGCCATAAAGCTGCTTTTGTGCACATCCATCAGCAGCTCTTTTTTTGGCTGGTGACAAACCAGGTGTAGTTCCAAGTGGGAGGTGAGATAACGTGTTTTGGATGATGACAAAGGAGAATAATGATGCTCCTGATGCAGCCACATCCTGCTGTTCTCCTTTTGAGATATTAACAGCATTGTAGGAGAATGATAAAGTCCCAGAGATTATCAGATTCAGAGTTCATCTGATCACAAAATGATCTGCAACAACACTGGATGATCTTGGGAAGATTCCCATAGCTATTGGGCTGACACACACCTTTACACCTACCTCCTTTGCACCTTCTTATTCTGTCTTTTGAAGCTTGGAGTTACTTCCAGAGCCAGGAGGATTGCTGATCTGACATTGTGTGTCAGTCTTCTAACAATTACACACTTGCAACTTAATTCAAATCAAAATTTTCCCCTTGCTAGTGCACATATGAATAAATTCTCAGGGTTTCCATGCTAAAGCAGACCCAGGAAATGATAAAAAGAGGATATGACTTAGCATTGAAAGCAACTTGCATCACAGGTTACAACCTCTTCTATCAACACTTCTGTTGCTGTACATTACTGCTTGTCCCAACTGAGTCTGTTTAAAACACAATGTTGGACTAGAGAAAAACTGAGGAGTTCTCATCAGCTGATTGAAGGACTGTGTCTGGTGGGTTCAGTGTGCCAAACAGTGCAGTGTGTTCCTGGCTGGTCCCAGAACACATGGTGCTCTGACTTGCAGGTTTTCTAGCCTGCAAGCACATTCATTTAATCATATTTTCCTCCCTTTTCTTTCTCTAGGAGCACTTTTCCTTTTTTCAAACTCAGCACAGAGGGCAATTTAAATAACAGGACTGAGTGTCCAGCACAAGTGCTGGCCTGGATCAGTTAGCAGAGCCCTCTGCTAATAGCTGCTGCCCTGCAGGCTTCTTCACTGCTGAGCAGTAATTGGAGATGCCATGGTGCCCACAAATGCAAATCCTGCTCAGCAGCAGGCACATTTCAGCAGACACTACAGCACTTAACAGGGCAGCTGCTTAATGAGTTCAGTGTCTTAATTTCTACTTATTTTGGAAAGAAATTTCCTGTTCTCCTTTTTCAGAACAGCCCATTAGCTCAAAAAGCTGCTATTCCTGCTGACAAGAAGTTCTTCAGGTTCTGTACTCTAAAGTTTGCATACAGTTTTTAGCCAAGGCCATTCACTCAGAAAAGCTTTGCTACACGATAGAAAGGGCTGTTGTTTTTCCCTACCCCAATCAATATGTACTTTCTGTAGATGGCTCTCAATGCCAGAAAATCCCACACAGAGCCGTGCCAGAGACAGAAATCAATGGGAGCACAGAGGACATTCCCCTGGGGAATAGGGGAATGCAGTTTGGGCAGCACAGGTGTTTGTGTGGCTCAGTGGGGAGCAGTGCTGGAGTGCTAGCCTGCCTTCAGATGGGCTGGTGCTACCAGGGCTGTTTGACCAGAGCCAGCCCCTGTGGAGCAATCCAGCTCCCCTTGTCGATTCACTTGAAACAAAGATAAAGGAATACATAAAAGCAAGTTTATGGATGCCTTTCTTTTCTCAATAGCTATGTTAGACTGCTATCACACACACAAAAATCTATAATGCTCCAGGCACTGAAAAAAAAAACCTGCTTAAAAAGCCAGAATCTTTCTTATTTAATCAATAGACAAAAGCAAGTGCATGCAGAGCTCCATAGGAACTTATCTAAAAACTAAACAGGACTAATAGATGCATCTGAAGTGCTCTGCCCTTGAGCTGAGCAGACAAAATGTTCTCCACAGGGCTACAGCATTTCTGTACATCAGAAACAACTAATGACAGTGATATATTGACCACCCCTAAAAACAACAAGCAACAAATGTTTGATTATTTCCTCCAGCAATTTGTCCAAATAATACAGGTCAAGAGGAGATTCCTGTGACTAGAATATGCTTTGCTCAGACAGGTGTACGGAAGTACCAAGAAGCCAAGTAACAAAGTGACCAGTAAATGTAAAATGAGGTACTTGTGTAAATTTCTCCCACTTTCAAGGCATGTGGTTTCTGACCATTTCCACTCAAACTAGATTTGGAGCTACCAAAGAGACGTTTGGTATAATGTTCTTTAATGCTCAGTCATAGACAAAAAGACAAATCAAATAAGAGGACAGGAAACAAAACCCATAACGCATCACTTTGCCATTGTGCCAGTTAGTCCCATTTTGAATATTGCCTGCATTTTTGGTCTCACATAACAGAATGTCATGACTGAACAAGACAAAGGAGACAAAGAAGACTGTAAGGGGAATTAGCAGACATGGACCAGCTAAAGCAGACTGAGACTCTTCAGGCCAGCAAAAGGATGACAAGACCTTGATTTCTACCAAGAGATACCAAATTAGTCTG